ACACGTCTGTCATTCCAGTAACTTGGAAGGCTGAGGCAGAAGGATAGCCGGAACCCAGCAGGTCGACCGGAGATGGCTATGAGTGTGCCACTGCATCCAACCTAGGCGACGGAGTGAGACTCTTATTCAAAAAAAAAAAAAAATGTAATGAATGTTTTCATACAACTGTGAGATTCAACTTTGAATCTACCACACTTTCGGCTGGAAATATACTGATTTCCACAGCCATAATTAGAGCAACTGTCCCTTAACTTTATGACAGAGGCTCCGTGCAACCTTGGGGAGGAAGAGAGGGTCAGGAACCAGGACCTCAGACACCCCCAAACCCCCCAGGGGCCTCACACGCGGGTCGGATCCTCCCCACGAACCTTGTGAGTCCTGAACACGAGGAGAAAGGGTCTGTGTGGGGAAGGCTCTGCTGGGGATGGCGCGACGGGGACAAGGCCTTAGGGTCCTAGCCTAGCCTCACCTACACCGAGGGGACCGGGCTGAGCATCCAGCGGGGACGGGTTCAGGATCGAGGCTGGGGAGTTGGCGGGCCACGTCACCGTCAGATTATCCGGGTCCATCCTGTCCCCCTCTCACGACACCACCAGCGTACTCACCATCTCCCATCTTCTGGGTGGCCCGGCGTCCTCCCCACAGACTCTCACGACCTGCAGGTCACAAGGTGACAGAGGATGAAGCGAAGACAAGAGACATACGCGGGTCGCAGAGAGCCGGACAGAGCCGAGAACACAAGCCAGCTCTGTGCGCAGGTGCAGGAGAGGAAGGACCTATTAGAGCGCAAAAGACGCCCACTCGCTTCCAGCTGCCTCTAATTGGCCAGTTCAGAAGGCACCTTCTATTGATTGGTCAAACCACAGGCCCCGCCCCTCTGGTCTTGACTGACAGGAGATGCAAAAAGAGAGACTCCATAGGCAAACACGTGTTTAGATTTCTCCCTGCCCTGGAGTCTGGGCCAAAGGTAGCGAGGAGGACGGTTGTGGGCCCCTCTCGGTGCATGATGGGAGTGTTCATTCCTCCTGGTCTGTGGGTCGATGAACTGCAGGACCACACCGCTCCTCCCGGGACACGCTGCGATCGTACTCATGCACCTCCGTGACGCACTGACTAGGAGACATTTAGACGCCAGTGTTCCCAGCATGCCCTGCGAGGAACCACAGTCATACAAGCCCGTCACTTTTCGGCGGCTGGGAGAAAGTTCAACCTCTTCTTTCTCATGCCGCCGAGTCTGATCGCATCTCCTGTCACTCAAGAGCAGAGGGGTGGGGACTGCAGTCATATCCAATCAACGGAGGCGGACGTCTTAACTGGCCAATCAGGTGGGAGCCGGAAGTAAGGGGCGGCTTCCCGGTTGTGACGGGGGGCGGGCCTTCGTCTCCTGCGCCTGCGCATAGAACTGGTTGGTCTCAGCTTTGTTCAGTGGGACTCACGCGTGTTGTGTGTCTTCGCGTCAGCCTCTGTCGCCTTGTGAACCGCAGGTTCAGGGAGTCCGTGGAGAGGACGCTGGGTCACCCGGAAGCTGGGAGATGGTGAGTATGGGGCGGATGCGAAAAGGGGTGGGGGGATGGACACGGATGACCCAGTTGTGGTGGAACCGACATTCCTGTCCGCTCCCAACCCCGGGTGTGTGCTTGTGGGTGATAGCCCCGCAGGCATCCTAAAGAACCCTCCTGGGTCGTGTGTGTGTGTGTGTGTGTGTGTGTGTGTGTGTGTGTGTGTGTCGTGTCGTGTGTGTGTTTTAATTTTAAAGAACCCTCCTGGGTCGTGTGTGTGTGTTTTAATTTTATCCAGGTTGGGGGGCAGAGGGGGGCCGAGATCAAGAGGTGACTTAGGCTTGCAGACATCTGGGCTATGAGAGGAATCCTGGAAAGTGGTGAATTCTCTTTCTCCTTGGTTTACTGTCTCCTTGTTCATTTATGTATTTATTTATTTTTTATTTATTTATTGTTTTTTGAGTTGGGGTCTCACTCTGTAGCCCAGACTGGAGTGCAGTGGCCGCTCCCAGCCACTGCAGCCTTGACCTGCTGGGTTCCAGCGATCCTTCCGCTTCAGCCTTCCAAGTAGCTGGAACTACAGGCGCACGCTATCACACCCGGCTAATTTTTTTTATTTATTTATTGTAGAGATGAGGTCTTGCCAAGTTGCCCAGGCGGGTCTCGAACCCGCGGGCTCAGGCAATCCACTCACCTCAGTCTCCCAAAGGGCGGGATTACAGGCTGAGGCACCAAGCCCGGCTTCCTTGTTCATTTATTTAACAAAACAGAGTTAGCACACAACTTTCACTTTCCCCGTTAGTATGAAGGACTGCATTCTTGTGTCTCTCTCATCTTTTCAGCATTTCAAAATTATTTTAACAACATAGAAGCAGGCAAAGAGGCAAGAGTTCCCCGCTCCGACTAAAATGGAGACTTAACAGAGACTTAAAATGTCAGACTTAACAGTTGACTGTCCCATTTGTGGTTGATCAAGTCTAAGTTTTATTTTTTTGGTAAATTGCAAGAAATCTGTTTTAGTTCGGAGACTTGTTTCTGTGCATTTTTAGACACATCACTGTTCTTGAGGGGGAAAAGACAGAAATGATTTCTGTCCTTTGGATGATCTTGCAATTGTGAAGGAAGGAAAACTATCCCAAATGACAAGGTAAGCCCACTCAGGGAGATGGTGGAAGAATCTACACATCAAAGAGAACCTCAAGCACAGAAAAGAGCAAGTGCAGGGGCTCCCAAGAGGGTGGTAAGACTTTGACCAAAAAAAAAAAAAAATGCATTCAATTTAATTTTGAAATAACTCAAGGCATATTTTCAACATATAGGTGTGACTCGATTAGATAATCTCACCTGAAAAGATATCAGAGAAGTAAGAGGAAAAAGAAAAAATGGCTGGTTCTCAGGTAAATGTGTCCCATGTCAGAAAGAATGTCATGTTTTTAAAACTTGCAAACCTTCCTGCTGTCCTGCCTATTGAGTGTTTTTCAACTATTTTTGTCCTTTGTGTGATATTCAATGGGTCTACCAGACACTTCTCCCTCTATTCTCTTTGTTCTCTTCTTCCATGCTGCTTAGCTGCCATGAACTGTTCTCACTGTGAATGTATGACCTTCAGTATTTAAAATGTTCCATTGTGGCTAAGGATCATGGAAAGGCTCAGTACCCAAGAATCCCATTGGAGATGGGGTAGATCCTCAGATCCCAGTGAAGGACGGAAACATTTCCTTTTTTTTTTTGAGTTGGAGTCTTCCTCTGTCACTTCACTCCAGCCTGGGCAACAAGAGTGAAACTCCATGGGATTAACGGTAGTCAGTGTCTGTCTGGGGATGGAGGGACACCCCTTATCAACAATGGTACCTGAATGATGCATATTTGTGTATCTAACCCTTAACTGTACCCCACAATTTGAAAATAAAAAATATGTTTAAAAAAAAGAGTGAAACTCCAACTCAAATAATAATAATAATAAATACCTATATCTTTTTGCCAAAACATCTCAGCACAGATGTTGTGTTGCCTTTGTGTGCCTTGGAACCTGATACCAATTTGTTTGAGCACCCTAACATGGGTAAGAATGAGACACACCAACTGAAAAAAAAAGTGCAGAACTTCAGACTAAATCCATGTCTTCTGAATAAAAATTTGCATTTTAACAAGATATTTGATTCATTGTTGTATATATTTAAAACTTGACGAGGACCTTCCAACTCATTAGCTTTCCATCTGAGCAGTATATGCATCTTATTTTGTGTGATGTAAACATAGCACTAAAAAAATGTAAATGCCTGTGTTAGTGTCCAAATTTATGCTGTATAATTCACAAAAAAAGAGTGTCTACACTGGCTGAGTGTATTTTATTTCGTTCTTTTTTCTCAGACTCAATGCGTTAGAGAATATTTCTGTGTTACAAATTATCTTATTGCATAATTCTAGTTGTATCAACTTGTCATATGTTCGATGAATATTTATTGGCAATACATTTGATTGTGAAGGGGTACGTATGGTTACAGAATTTGTGCAACTAGGGAGTTTCTTGGGCAAGGTTAGATAGGAATGTGGGTGTGTGTAATTATGAGAAATTTACATAAGGGGGTTATTTTTAGGTTAACATGGAGGCTGTGCTACAAAATGGAGTTACTTATGTCAAGGAAGTAATTACAGGCTGTTTATAGGTTTTGCAGATAGATGTTTCATCCCCCCCCTTTTAGTTGTTTATTATTCAATGCATTGACTCATCTATCATAAGTATATTATTATTATTATATTGGGGTCTTATATACATAAGTTTTACAGAACTGATTCATTGTTTAAGATGAATAATTTAATTTATTATGCAGGGCCCTATGAGCAAACTGAGGAGAAATATGAGGGGTCCAACTATACCAGTAACAAGGGTTGCTAGCCATGGGTTTCAATTGAACAAGGATTGGAATTAGGATTTATTTTATTTTATTTTATTTTATTTTATTTTATTTTATTGGTGTTTGTACAATTTTTTCAGACCCTTTGGAGGGTGTTTTTAATAACCCTTGAATTGTTGGCATAGAAGCAACAAGCTTTTTCAAGGGCTACACAGAGTCCCCCTTCAGATAGAAAAGGTAAGTCTATGCCTTTATGATTTTGGAGGACAACTTTAACCAGGGATTTTACTTTTCATAGAGTTGGTCCATGGCAAATTGTAGGTTACCTAGGTCAGTATCCATTTCTTGGGCAAGGATAGACCCTGTTCTCCTCAAACAAGAGCAGTGTACTGGTTTCAGCTGTTCTTGCTACACTCAACCTGACTATGGCAAGTACTAACAAGGGAACAGTGTGTTTTGAACAAGCAATTGGAAGACCAGGGGCATTGAGTAGAGAGCTCTTTTGGGACCACTATAAGCATAAACCTGAGGTAGCACATGAACAGTAATATATAAAGTAAACTGATTAATTAACATTTTGGTAGTAGAACATTTTGTAAGATCTGTAGAAATAGCTAACCAGGTGTTGGCAGGGGCCATGTAGGCCATGGATTCGGCCATGGTTAGGGTGAGGGATAAGTTAAAAACATCAGAGAATGGAAAAGTTGTTAGATTAAAACCTGGAGTTATAAAGCAGGAGTCTTTACCAGTTACATCACCTAGAGTAAGGGAAACCATTTCAGGAGGTCATTTAGTTTTGTCTGCATTGCTGATGATAGCAGTTTCAACTTCTAGGCCCACATAATATGGGGTTTTGGTTTTAAGCAGAACCAGCAATCTGGGACATAGTGACATTAAGCAGATGTTGCATATGAGTTAACATAGGAAAAAGACCAGGGGGTTGACTGGCCAGTTTTTAAAGTGGTCAAGATGAACTCAGGAGCTGTTGAGGTGAACCCAGGGTATTGACTTGATTGGCAGATGGCAAAGGCTGAGGCAGAGGCTGGTGGTAACTGAACAGGGGATCCTTCAGCTCTGCCAATGGCCCTATTGTTTTGGCCATGGTTTTATAGGTGATTGCTTGCTGCCAGATGGTGAATAAGGCACCATGGTTATACTTATTTATATAGAGTTGTAAACATAATTAAACAAATCTTGATTTAATAACCTTTTATAAATTTTTGCCATGAAACAGTAACAAGTTTATTATTATTTTTAAGATATTCAAATTTAAATTATATTTCTGACAAAATTGGAACCATCTTGCATGGCGAAAATTTGTCCCAATAGGCAGTTCAATAAAAGCTGTGCAGGTTTAAATGCTGTTTATATTTTCAGTTAGAACTGGTTGAATTGTATAAGCAATACCAATGGAAAAGGGAGGAAAAAAAGACAAAAGCAAACTTAGAGAAAACTAAAAAAAAAAAAAAATCAAAATTAGAGCTCTGAAACCAGAAAACAATTATGGCTATAAACAGAACAAACAAAACAAATTCAAACCGAGTAACATAAACATCCAGAGACCCTGTAGAGGGCCATCCAACATTACCAATCGAATTCACAGAGGGTCTGACACTTGCCCTTTGAGAAACGTACTCCATAATGCTCTGTGAACCAGACAGAAGTTTCTTAACATACAGTCCTGGGGCTTTGTAGGCTTGGAGGCCTTACACCCCACGTTGTTAAAAACCAGTAAATCACATAAGACACCTGATGAAAAGCAGAACTCCAATTACAAAGAGATAAGCAAAGTCTAATAAAAGTTTATAGCCTAAATGTCAGTCTCAAGGTGCAGCAGAAGCAAGCCCTTTAACAAAGAGCACAGCAAGATGCAAAGAACAGAAAGGGGACAATATTATAAACAATCAGACGTCAAAGCAGGTATCCAAACAGAAACCAGTTACTAAACTGAGACGCTATAAACAGAAACCAGATACTAATCCAAGAAACCATTCTACCAACACCTTAGGCAAAGAGCAAAGTCTAAGGAGTGGCCTCAATCAGGCTGTGTCCTCCTTAACAGAGTTGTGGCCACAGACAGATTAAACAGATTCTTACTTCCCAGGAGAACGCAGATGTACTCAAGAATTTTGAGGCAATGGGAAGCCAGTCATCATTCCAACTCCCTCTGAGCCAGGTGAGAGGTTATTAGGCCCTGGAACATTACAGGGGGCACCTCCCCTATACCATCCCCACCTAGCTGGGGAGAGCTGGAGTGAGGCTGCCTCCCGAGGTTGGTGACTCATCTAGCAGGGGCCTCCAAATGTTATAGCTACAATGCAAGAAAGGACGCAAACATGCAGAGAGGGTCGAATTAAAAGTCCTTTATTGATGCTGGCGTTTGAGAGCAGACTAGTATCCAAAGAACTCTTGGCCCCAAACAGAGTAAGTAGGGGATATACAAAGGCAGAAATTACATAAGCTGTATAGTTAGATTAATATTCCTTGGCAATACATTGGATTATAAAGGGATACAGATGGTTACAGAATATGCACAACTAGGGAGTTTCCAAGCACCAAGGGAATAGGAACGTGGGTGTGTGGTTGTGATTATGGGAAGGTTACATAAAGGGGTTATTTTTAGGTTAACATGGAGGATTTGTTACAAAATGGAGTTACTTATGTCAAGCAAGCTATTTCTTTCTCTTTCTTTCTCTCTCTTTCTCTTTCTTTCCTTCTTTCTTTCTTTCTTCCTTTCTCTCTCTCTCTCTCTCTCTCTGTCTCTCTTTCTCTCTTTCTTTCTTTCGAGTTGGAGTCTCTGTAACCCAGACTGGAGGGCAGCGGCATGCTCTTGGCTACCACAGCCTTGACCTGCTGGGCTCTTGTTATCCCTCCACCTCAGGCATCCAGTAACCAGAACTAGAGGTGCACACTACCATGCCCAGCAAGTTTTTTATTTATTGTAGAGATGAAGTCTTGCTAAGTTGTCCGGGTGGGTCTCAAACCCATGGACTCAGACAATCCTCTTGCCTTGGCCTCTCAAAGTGCTGGGATTACAGACTAAGCCACTGAGCCTGGCCATCAAGCAAGCTATTACAGGCTGTTACAGGTTTTGCAGATAGATATGTCAAGCTGGGCACTGCTTTCTTCACACTTGCTTTACCTAGAGGCATGGTCACTTGGTAAATATGTGTTGTTGTTGTTTTCAGGAGCTCTTGACATTCAAGGATGTGGCCATAGAATTCTCTCCAGAGGAGTGGGAATGCCTGTACCCCACTCAGAGGATATTGTACCGGAATGTGATGTTAGAGAACCACAGAAGCCTGGTTTTTCTAGGTGAGGACAGTTTTAAAACACAATCCCTATTTTATACTAAGAATTTCTTATCCTTCCTTTGTAGAATGTTTCCAGGAAATTTCTGCTTTGTGTGAATGACTTTCAGATTCCTGCTATCAAAGAAAAGTTGGTGATTTGTTGACATAGAAAAGAATATACTAAAGTTGTTTTATTTTCTCTCTATTTTGAATTGACATGTGTCCTTCTATCTATATTAGTGGTAAGTCCAGAAATTTAGTCACATAGACTATAATTACCCACACCTCAATCCAATTGCTATCATAAGTTTTTGACTCACTAGTACTGAGCTAAGAATGCACAAATTTAAGGTGGGGAGCAGTGCCTCAAGTCCATAATCCCAGCCTTTTGGGAGGCCAATGTGAGAGGTTTACTTGAGTCTATGGAGTGCAGAACAACCTGGGAAACTTGGCAAGACCTCAACTCTACAATAAATCAAGAAATTATCTGGGTGTCGTAGCAAACTCCTGTAGTTCTGGCTACGTATGGAAGGCTGAGAGGGAAGAATCATCTGAGCTCAGCAGGTTGATGCTGGGGTTGCCTGTGTCACCAAGTGAGATTCCAACTCAAAAAAAAAAAAAAAAACCTGCCAGGCTCAGTGGCTCAGTCTGTAAGTCTGTAATCCAAGCACTCTGTGAAGCCGAAGTGAGAGAATTGTCTGAGTCCGTGAGTTCAGGACCTGCCCAGGGAACTTGGCAAGACCTCATATCTACAATAAATCAAAAAATTAGCTGGGCATGGTAGCACACACTAGTAGTTCTGGAAGGCTGAGGTGGAAGGATCACCAGAACCCAGCAGGTTGAGGCTGCAGTGGCCAGGAGTGTGCCACTGCACTCTAGTCTGGGTGACAGAGTGAGATTCCAACCCTCCCCCCCCAAAAATACACATATTTAAAATGCTATACAAATGTTCTGAGGGCTATTGGAAAATAACATTTGGGGATAAATTTTCCAGAATATTGTTAATATGTTCTCTACTGAGTTCAATACTAGGTTTGTAATTGAAGAACTCCAGCAATGGTCATATTACTTTTTTTTCTAATAAAACAGGCCTTGCTGTTTCTAAGCCAGACCTGATCACGTGTCTGGAGCAAAGGAAAAATCCCTGGGATATGAGGAGACTCAGCATGTTAGCCAAAACTCCAGGTAGGTGGGTTTGAATGAAGCAGATGACATAAATCCAGGAAGCAGAGCTTGAAATGTGGTTTGGGAAGATGGTCTGCTCCAATGGAAATGATTTCTGAGAAGTCTGGAATTATTTCTCTCTTGTTCCACAAAGGAACATCTATTATTCCATGTTCTGAAATTCTCCAAAAACTCGGCTTCTTCAGTAATCTCATTTCAAGGTTACAGAGGAAAACGAAGTTTACTTAATGGGTTTTCAACTGCATGATCTAACTACATTTCTGATGCTTTTGGAGATGTGCAGATGTCTACTTATTCATTTAGAAAATCCATGTCAAACTATTTTTTAAGTTTTCCTTTTGCATCATGTTTGAAATTATTTGAGAGTAGTGATGTTATTATCTGAGAAATTTTAAGGACTCCAGACAGATATCATGTGCATTCTACTTTATGATTCTCTATCTTAGGGAGGTTCCCAATGTGCTTTCTTAAAAATTCATTACTCCAGCCAAGCTCGGTGACTCAGCCTGTAATCCCATGCCTTTGGGAGGCTGAGGTGAGTGGATTGGCCTAAGCCCGCGGGTTCGAGACCTGCCA